TTTCAAGAAAATATTCGAATATAGCTTTAAATATAGTACAGTACCATTATAATATGTTATCATGTGAAACATAGTTATCTTATTTTCATTATTTTATTAGATAATGATATTACTTTTGTTGTCTACGAACTACGAATAGTATGAGTAGTGCGTAATTGTATTTTGTTCTGCGTTGATTGCTTTGGTCATTATAATTTAATAATAATTAAAATAATTATAATTACAATATATATATATATATATATATTAAGTTATAATTTTAATACGATGAATGATTGTGATTCTCCAAATGAAGTAGATGAAGTTGCAGATTTAGGAGATCCGATTTTACTTAACCAAAATTTCAAAAATATTTTAAAGTGTTAAGAGTCATTGAGGATAATTTTTTTTATAAGAAACTAGAAATGAAGTGTTTAAGTTGTGTTAGTACGAAATGTTACATAACAGATTCACGTTCCAACTCGAATTTAAGGAAACATTTATGTGTAAATACAAATTTAATTTGATACCTATTCACGAAACTATGCTAGTCAACCACCTAATGTCTTGTATTAAATAATTGTTATACATTTATACCTGATTATTTGTAAAAATGAATTAACCTAACCTAATTATTAAATTTAGAAGGCAATTATTTTTCATAATAATTATTATTACGTATATTTCTACATCATTTTGATTTAGGTGCTTTAGATCAACTACTGCAATAATTTATTGTGAGTGCTAATATACCAATTAAAATTGTTGAAAATCCGGTATTAAAGGAAATGATTACAAGAGGTATCCCAAACAAAAAAAATTAAGTCTCGGCTTACACTCATGAAAAAAATTGAGAATGATTTTTAAGAATTAGTGTTAAAAATTAAATTTGAGATATCCAAATGTACCATACATTTCTATGACTGCGGATAGTTGGTCGATTTTTAAAAAGTAACCTGTATTTTATTTACTGCAATAAAATTACAATGTACATACCTAAATAGTAGAAATCAATTAGTTTAATATTATATTTTTTTATATTATACATTGTTATAATGGTCATGTAGATTAACGAGGATTTATCACGAAGAACTCGTTTTTTAGCATTGATACGACTAGAAGATTTACATAAATTTGATATTTTAGCCAAAGCTATGGATGCAGTATATTACAGACATTAGTGGGTACTTCTATTCACCAAACATTGCATGTCAATAGAAGCAGAGCTTTAAAAGAGCTTTTTATATCCCTAAAGCCACTTACTCCAAAAGTGACTTAAGGTATTTGTTGTGCTCACGGAAATCTATCTTTTTAGTTATATTAAATTTAATCATAGGAGTACGAGAAGTAGTCTTAAAGTAGTGTCAAAAACTGCTTCTGTTGACCCGGTTTTACAATGTTTATCTATTGACTCTTATCATACCGGAATTTCAATCTTAAATATCGAAAAATTATGTTTGTTTAATTTTTTATTAAATGTTACACATTTGTACAAATTAAATACAAAATAAATAGTTTATTTTCGGATATTTTTATTTTTTTATGACTCTAAAAAAGCTTTGTCAAATTTTGCTTGAAAAAAACAATCAAGAAACATTTTTGCCAAGTTCACTGATTTATGAAATAAACAATGGGGAGCGCGTAGAAATCTGGAAATTAGAAATCCAGGCCGTACATATCTGGATTGTACAAATCTGGACTACATATTATAGATATCCAATTAAGGGGTAAGGGTAGGCCATAAATATACCGTTTCATAAAATACAATATTTAAGGGGATATAAATAGGCAATTTGTATTAATTTTTTATAATAATGTATTAGAACTTAATAGGATTGCATACAAATCTAGAAATTGGAAATCTGGATCTTCAAAAATTATTAACTTTTTTTAAAGCCTATAATAACACTAATTAATAGAGTACAGTGCTGTACAAAAGTAGAGTTAACCTAACAACCAGATTACAATACAATTGTTATTTTTTACATAATTTAACATTTTATTGATTTTATCGAATATATATTTGTTTTAAATATAGAGGAATTGAATTCAAATTAGACAGATCCAAATAATTCAGAAAATGTATACCTCATTTTTTTTTGTATATCCAACTTGAATATCATAAGCTCTATTTCTATGCTTTATTTCATATTTGAAGTTAATTTTCGATTCTGAGTGGAGCGAAGAAGCTTATAGTTTTACAAAGATGTTTTTTTAGATTTCGAGCGTAGCGAGGGAACTATTGGTTTTACTAAGATATTTATTTCTTTTTCTTTCTAGTCCGTTGAATGTAAAACTGTTGACCAGTATCAAAACATTAAATGGTTTGAAATTAAAAGAATATTTTTAACTGCCTCTAACGTTAACAAAATCATTAATCCTAGGCTTGATACTGGTTGTGAAAATTTATTGTATACGACAAAATTTACTGCCCCTCAAATAGAATATGGTCATGAAAATGAACCAGTAGCCATAGAAGAATTAAAACAATATTTAGGGAAAAAAATTAAACCATGTGGATTGTTTATTGATTCTAAAGATTATTTCCTGGGTGCTACTCCGGATGGACTAATCGATGATGAGAAATTCCAGAAGAAGGTATTTTAACAAAAAAAAAATTTGGCAAGTACATGAAAATGGTAAGATTGGAGATTATGAAAAAAAGATATAATTATCATTTTCAAGTATAAGGGCAATTAAATGTTACAAAAAGAAAATATTACATATTTTGCGCATGGACCAAAAAAGGATTCAAAACTGAAAAAAACACCTATGAAAAATTATTTTGATAACAAAATGTGTTGCCAAAATTAAATAAATTTGAATTTAACCTATCAGAAATCCGGGCCAGTGGCTGGTTTGAGGAGGGGAGGGGCTAAAAGGGCATTAACCCCCGGGACTAAGCTATCTATTTTTCTAAAAAAAGTATTATGATATGTCAATAATTATTTTAAAAAATATTACCATTGAAGAATATGATTATTTAATATTTATGGACATTTGAGTATTTAGGTTTCGAGTTATTTTTGGATTGTTTTTCTTTCAACGACTAATAAGCGTCAACATCGCGGACCATAGTCGATAGTAATATTATAATTACACATTGTGTTTAAGAATATATACCAGTTTTGACATCGACTATTGCCTATTGGACTATTATCACGAATTGTACACAATAGTTTAATAATAGAATTAGAATACACTTTATTTCCATGTAATATGAGTACATGGTTGGTTTAATCCTTTAGTTCTTAATTGATTTTCGAACGAGGAACGACGCGTTTCAGAATTCCGATAACCATTAACCATACAATTCACAATTCACAATGCCGATGGAGACAGTAAAAAAGCAACTACTGAATAAAGAAATCAAGTAAATATTACTATATTTTTTAACAAGAAACATATTTTATCAGAACAAGTTAATAAGATAGAAAACTTGAACGTTCCAATGCCGTTCACATCGGAATTATTTGAAAATGAACAAAAACTGATCGCAGTATAGAAAATTATATTTTAGAACCTTTAAATTTTACTGACGATATTGGGTATTATATAAACTCAACGTCGATAAATCAGAATACAAAATATCTTTTAGTTAAAAAAATTATTTGCCAAAATCTAATTTTATCTATCCTTTTCCAATACATGTTAAAAAAGGTAAATGAGGAAAACGATACTATAATCAATCTCACTTCACGAAATTTCCCTGATTAGCATATGCATTAATCAAATCTGAGTTATTCTGTAAATTTTGTGTTGCTTTGCTTTGTTAATAATAAAGGAGGGTTGAGAAATATTGAACCTTTAAAAAAATTAGTCATTGTACCATTAAATACATTTGGTTAAATGGTTTCGGATTAAAATTCATAACAGTATACATATTTGAACAAATAATAATAATAAAAAAAAAAAAAAAAAAAAATGATTTACATATGAATAAAACATCTATAAAATACAGCTAGGTAAATTCTTGAACCACAATTAGCTCCCTCCCATTTGGTGAGAGATAAAACCCGCCCCTGCGGGTCGATGCTTATATTCACGAACTTACGTTCTGTGAAGTTCAGAGAATAGTTATTGCAATCGATTATGTCAACTGGTGGTGCTGGTGCTACGCATTTGTATAATTGTTTCTCGTTTGCAGTTACGTTTGTTTCGTTTAAAGCAGCCATATTTAAAATACTTATAAACATTTTTGAAAACACCTGGTAAAAATTTTAGTAGAGAAATGAGCACTGTTAGAAGACTTGCTGCTACGACTGTGAGACGGATAATGATTCCGAATGAAATGTTTACATTTATGGGGGGCTGTAAGAAACCTATCACAACCATCTCAGACATGATTCATGGTTAAAATGTCTTATCGATAAAAATCCATTATCTCGTATCCGTGATGGTATCCATTTGTTATTTTATAAACTGTGCATCCGTATAACGATGAGGATAAATAATTATACGTGGACAATAAGGACAAAAGCATGGGCAAGGGAGACGCTGCTGGTTATAGACCCTCGCTTGACAGGCCTTAACAAGTTCGTTGTCGTCGATGATTATATTCCATAAAGGTAAAATCGTTTGTCAGAATTAACAACGACCGATATAAAATATTATTTTGTTGTATAGATAATATTTGGTCGTAACGGAGGGCGTGGGAAAATGTTTCCCACGTACAATTAAAAACGACCAAGTTACGGCACTAATTTTCAAATAAAAAATATGTCTCGCGATAAAGTAAATGGCGGCGAAATGAACTAGACCCATTTTTTTCTTATTATCTATTCGTGTTTGTCCAACGGAAATGTAAAAATTAATAATTTTACTATAGTTTCAATTAATATATAATATTCCATATCTACGACAACAAAACTTCCAAGCCAAAAAAAAAACGATATTTCTCCATAGTTATAATAAATTTGGTTAGGAAGATATGATAGACAAACAACGGAAAAAATGTAATCGGAAGTTAAATTTCTTGGTTGCATAAAAATTGCACATTGATCCTCGGAGAAAATTACATGATGTTACAATCGACGATAAACGATCTGTTCGAGATCGTATTGTGCATAGGTTTATTTTGTTTGGTCATTTGGTTGATGGCAAGACGTGACAAACGGGATAAAGAACAAACGATAGAAGTCATACTGGAGGACCCCGCACCGATTACGGATGTGATTTATTACGAATCAATGACATTGGAAGACAAGTATAAAAAAATAAACTCTCAACTCGATACGATCGGCAAATTGATACCAGTTGACCAGGAGTTAATAGATTTACAAACGAATCTGGCGGATGTTGTAAGATTGAAACAAAAAGTTGATGACGTTTATCGGTTCGAAATGGCTCAATTTGAGAACGCTATTGCGTGGCTAGAAACGCCTTCGGTCACTCGCGGTAGGTACAAGCCGTTGAATCGCGGTGACGACGACAATGACGGATCTGACGAAAGTTTTGACATGAAACATTTGATGCGGGCCATACGTTTGGCCGCAAAACGAGCGATCGATGATCACGTTCCGGGTGGAGACAAGAATTTCACTGACAGTACGGTTAGCGGCTACGATGATGATAATGAATCTTCCGATGGAGAACCCGTGTTGGAACGAGTCGACCGAAAAGCGGTGGATATGTTCAAAATGCCTGACGTGGGTCTAAACAACTTGTTGGAGATCCGGCGTGCGTTTGAACGCATTTTGCCCATCATAAAACACTGGACGCAAAAAGCTTTAGATGATGTGTCGGAAACCATAAAGATTTGGTACGTGGCGTTTATGATTGCCCGGCGTTCGACGTTTAACCGGGAAAAACTGACTGTGGCTCGTGACGTCGCGTCCGAGATGGTGAGTCGTGTTGTCGCGTTTCAGGCCGAAATCAATATTAAAGAAGACTTGACGACGATGGCGTTGGAACTATTCCCGGATAAGTCCCGGACCGTTAAGAAGAAGGGATTTTTAACGCAACTTTTGGAACTATTAAAGCGTGCAGTGAACGTTGTTCGACCCAAGTGACATATTTTACGTAAAAACTGTCCTTATTCCCAAAACAAAAAAAATTAATTGCAAAGAATACATTCTATTTTACATTCTCGAAATCGTCATGTACATTCTTATAATATTATGATAGTTGAATAACCTGATATTTCCCGGGCTATTTTTAAAAGGTCACAGATTATCGTTGTTGCCTGGTAATTTATTTTTGAAAAATATTATTTACTATATCATGACAGACAAGTAAAATATTAATAACTGGGTATTTTTTCATTCGTATCACCATGGTGTAAACCCATAGATTTGTATGGCGGACATGTATATGCCTTACATATAAAATATAACAGTTATTTGTTCATCAAAATTATGAATAGGGTTTTGGTCTTGATCAACTTTATCAATAACCTGCATGTTTAATTTTTAATAGACCAAGTTTGCTGGTTTTTCAAATAGGCTTAGTTTGCTGAACTACTTTAGTTCAAGTTAAACTAATAGGTAGGAAAAATATGATTTAAATGAGATTGCTAATTGTTGCATGATCCTTGGGTTATAAGACGCATACTAGTACGCTTATAAAATTTATCGAGCTTATATTATAGATGTTACGAACCCTGATTTTTAAGGTCGAACCGAACCGAACTTTCCTTATAATTAACGAACCCGAACCGAACCTACACTTTTTATTCGAACCCGAACCAACCCGGACTTTTAAAATATTTTATCAAATTCGAACTCGAATATTACAAAAGTAAAAAGGTTAGATTAAGTTTGGTCAAAAAGTTTTAAAATTGTAACAATGTAAAATTATTATATTATGCGAAAAAAATAGAATTTTTCTTTTTATAATAAGGCCGCTTTATCCACCACAGAACATCGTACTGGTTACCGCGCAAAATCGGCATCGAAAATCGAACAGTTTATCACATGTCTAGTTGATACCTATCGGTTTCTCAGATGTCCATTTAGTGTGAACTATATATATATATTTTTCTCAAACCCAAATATTGTTTCTATACTGTTCAAGTATAGAAGTAAGTAAGTAAGTAAGTTTTAGTAAAATGTCATACATAAAATTAATAGGTTATAATAAAATAATTTTAAAAAATAAAATCCTAGTAAAAAGTTTTAGGTAAAATTATACAAGTAGGTAATTAAATATAAGTATAAAAAGGACAACGATAAATTAGTGAATATTGAAAATGTTATGTGTTATATTTAAATTGAAATACTATCTGTGTGTCTAAGTGCGAAAACGTGTTTCCATTATCAAAGACTTTGATATCTACTACTCTCCTACTCTTTCCTTAAAATTCCATGTAAACAATATTATTTGTAGAACTCTTAAAGTATTAAGATTTATTAAACGTATTACAGCCAATTTCACTTCAATCTCTTGTCTTCGTATTCTTTATTTGTCCTTGGTTCGATCTATTTTGGAGTGTGGGTGGATGTTTGGCATCCCTACTTATCATGATTAAATCCGTATGGAAAGAGTCCAAAACAGGTTTTTATCGTATGCTGCTTTCCTCTTAAAAATTGATCATCCCCAGCACGACTACTCTCTTCCATTTTTAGCCTCCGCTAACAATTCTTACATCAAATCTCTTCTTAATGACTCCTCATTGACTCACTTGACCTCCTATCTAAAATATGCTCCCGAGTTACCACCCACAATACTTGAAACCCTTCCCTTTTACAGCTACTACATCATCATACGTATTATGGTCATAACCATTTCCTATACAGAATGCTCAGGCGACTAAGTGAGTTTACTCCTTACCACATTTTCCAGTAATAAGATTTTTCTAAATTGTTTTTTTTTTTTTTTTATCATAATTTTTATTGTATTAATCTATCACATTGTCATAATCATATTGTACACAATCTAATCACTGAAAACATTGCCTGTTGAGATGTTGTAAAATAAATGATTAAAACGAATGGATTGAAATAAATCTTAAAAAGATACTCATAAACATGGTTACGTATTTCCAAAAATACTCTGGTCTCGTTAATCACAGAAACATATTTTTGGTACTAAAATATAAACAAAATAAATAACTATGTTTTTTCGGGAGTCGATTTTTTATGATCGTTTAACCGGTTGGACCGATGGAAGAAATCCCACCAAGCAACCCGGAGTCAACTATACAACAGAGTATCTACCCACCTCTTTTATAAACGAGGAGGAATATAAATTTTCGCATGATTATGTAATATAAAATAATAAATTATTACTTATGTGCGTTTGATCGAGAAGTAACATTTGATGGAAATTCTTACTCCCTGGCAATTTGTGTTAGTTCTCTCTCAAAACTACATTATACTGAATAATATCTACTTATTTTATAGTATCATTATTTAATTCTCTATAATGACTATGTAAACATTAATCACGATTACCATACATTTTTACCTTACTAAAAACTTTTTTTTTCAGTCTTACAAGTGTCTATTTCGGTACAACTTCTTTAACAATTAAAATTATAATACTATAATTATAAATGGTTTTTTTTTTTTTTTTATGATTTTCTATTTTGTTTAATAATTTATCAAACATTATATAGGTAATCTCAAGTAGTATTGCACATGCGAGTTGGATACTTGCAATTAAAGGTCTGATTCCTAAGAAAGCGTCTAGTGACGCGCGGCCGTCACGACCGACGAAACGCGACTCTAGTTTTGACCGCGTGAGCCGCACGGCTCAATTACGGATTCCTTAAGAAACGTATTCACTAGCGTGACAAAACGGCGAATATTTTGTGTGTTTGTGTGTCATATGTGAGTAACAAATCGTCTAACTTGTATCATACTTCTGTAACAAACCGTCAATCCGCTGATTGTCGGTGTTTTGGCGAAACTTCAAAGGGTGATGCGCGTACACGTTACAATATGTATGGACGAAATAAAGAACATAACCGTGTAACATCATACTAGTATAAAATATAGTATATCGTATATAATATATGAAGCTCAAGAGAAAACTTATTTCTTATCAATAATTGATATGCCTAAATATCAAGATGCAAAAAATATTTTGGACCTGACACACTTAATGAACACATCTTATGAAAGTAAGTACCTACTTGCTATTTATAGATACATTTTGTATTATGTTAATTTACATATTTATACTATAGTACCTTGAGACTTTAAAAGTATGTAATACCTATTTAGTATATATTCATATTATAATTACACGTACATTATAAATAATAATAATTATACATTTTACTTATATTGGTACATGGTTAATAAGTAAACATGTTATTCTTTTTAGATCATCGGAAAGTTGTGAAAAATAATTATGAAACCACAAATACGTATACTAATATCGTATACTAATCACACATTTTGGAGCTTTAAAACAGTATTTAGTGTGACCAAAAGTTTGAAAACTTTTGCATAATGGCACTTTTTTTTTGGAGGTTCCACTTTAATTTTATGATAACACAAATTTTCAAAATCATAGATGTCTTTGTTATTTGCTTGTGGTTTCAGAACAAAAAAGAATAGTAGAAGCCTAACAATAATAAAATCACAGCTCTTGTTGTTACAATAAACTTTTTTATTTCATCTAAATGTTCGTATAATTATTTATAAGATTTCCTAATTCAGATTAATTATTTCTATAGCTCGATTGCAATTTCTCTACCATTTGTTTTAAGGCTGAATTGACATATTGAATTTGTGTTAACTATAATATTTTGTAGCGGATTTACACCGTCGTTTATATTCTCATACATTGTAATTCGATCAGTTTACGTGTGACTCACTTAAAATATGTTTGTTTATAAAAACTCCGCGCTAGGCCGTATTGTGCATTATAAACATTGATCTAAAAAAAAAAAAAAATGAATAACTGATACAGCGCTATTTCGCGAACTCTGAGAGAGAAACATACGTGTTCTTTGTTGAGTGTACACATCACAATTTGTTTACACAGTATAAAAGAAAAAAAAATAAGCATTTTAGTAAAAACAATACATAAATTGCTACACTCAGGTTCTAAAATATTAATATAGTTATAACCTAAATAACCCTACAGGGTTCCTCACGGGGATTCGACAAATGCAATAATTTTTGTTCTATTGAATAGTTTTGACATACTTTTTTTTTTTTTATTGAGTATGCCTCGGAACTACAATTTATATATAAACATTTTTCGTTTAGAGGGAGGGGGACTTAAAATAAAAATTCAAAATATCCATTATGTAAAGTAGATGTTTAGAATATTATTAGAAATTAAAACTTTTGTAAAAGTATATGCTTTTATTTTTTTAAATTTTGGAAATGTGAATATAATCTAATGAGGTTATTCAGAAATCAGTTATTAGTCAAGATTTTATTTTCAACAAGTTTAAATAATAAAATAATATTGTCTTATTAAAAATATAACGGGTTTAAATAATAAATAATGAAACTTTAAGTTAATGAATAATATTGTTATGGTTAAGAAGAAAATTTACTAACTTTTCAAAAATTGTAGAAAAAAAAATGAACCAAAAATGTTCTAAAAACCTATTTTCCAATATAGCTATTTCAAATTTTTTATTTTAGGTCACACTCTTCCTAAAAATAAAATGTTAATTGATAAACTGTACAACGAGGTACACAAATTATTTAAAAAAAAATGTATCCCAAAATTATTGAATAAAACAAATTTTACTGCATTTTTATCAAATCCAGGTGGACCAAAAGTAATTGTATATTTGAAGATCCTCATGGGACACACTGTATGTCTTACCTTTTTAAATTCCAACCAAAAAAAATGGCAAAAATTGTCAGCCTTATCGGTTCTTTGTTTTGCAAATATATTTTTAAGCACACTTTATAGATAAATTTGCATAATTTGAAATTATTTGCAACCCGTAAAAGTAAATAAATTGTTTTTCGTAATCGATTACTCATAGTTATTTTAGATATTGTAGATTTATTGAGTTAAAAACCATAATGTATACAATATTACCCCAGATTTGTAAACGCATCAATATAAATTCTAGTTGAACTGTAGTGATTTTATTAGTTTGTCATTTAGCGTGTGTTAAACATTATACTTTAAACATTTTATTATATTTTTATTCGATGTTTTATATTTGTACAAAACCATACAAATAAAGCAGCATTTGCAAATTCATAAACATACTACATTTTTATCCTAAATTTGTTTTGTTTTAACATAATTAACACACACAGATATTATTTTTTATTATTCAATTTCTTTGTTCTATCATATCTAAATACAAATATTGTATAAAAATGAATGGTTTCTTAAATGTAATTATTGTCATTTTTTTTTGTATTTGTATAAAACACTCAAAATCTGAAACTCTTCAAAAACATCTTCAGGAAAACGATGAGACATCAACAACAAGCAATCAAATAATGAAAAATGCATCTATACAAGAATCACAAAATAAGGTAGAAAATCTGAAACAATAAAAAGTAAAAATTGCCAGCCATATACGTTCTTTATTTTGTATACGCGTTCTTTAACTCATAGATTTTAGGTAATACAAGTATGCAGAATTTTATAATTATTTGAACACTGTATAAAAAAAAAAAAAATTAATTTCATAATTGATGACGCACAGTTATTTTAGACATTTCTGGTTTTATTAGTTAAAAACCATAATGTTTACAAAATTACATCAGATTTGTAAAATCACATCAATTTAAATACTAGTAAAATTGTACTAATTTTATGAGTTTGTCATTTGGCACCTGTTAAACTTTATGGTTTAAAACTTGCGCTTTAATTTTTTTTCTATTTTACGTTTTAAATTTGAACAAAACTATACAATTAGAAGAGCGTTTGAAAATTCATAAATATATTACATTTTTAACCTAAAATTGTTTTGTTTTAACATACCTATCATACACATATATTAATTAGAAAATGTATAGTTTCATAGATTTATTTATTAAATTTATTTTTGTGTTTGTATAAAAGATAGAACGTCGAAGTCTTTCAACTCTTCGGGAACTTTTTGAAGAAGAACGTGTTGAAGAAAATACAATTAGTCGAGTAGAAAAAAATACATCCACGCTAGGAATAAAGAAAAACAAAGATAATGTAATAAAAAGAATTTTCAAAGGACGTAAAAAGCAACCTACTTCACTTAAAAGTAAATCGAAGGTAACATAACGTTATTGTATTATTTTATGAATTTGTATTGATTGATGTCATATAATACTATAAAAAAGGTTCAACTTTGTTACCTAGGCACTATTCTATTTGAATATATATGCCAAACTTATGAACAGTATTTTGTGTAATTTATTGTATAAGTATGTAAATACAGATATTCGAAAATATGTTATTCTCCAGTTCTTGGGATGATATAAACATTTACGTTTTTTATATAAGTCGTGATTTGCTGTAATTGAAACTCATATATAGAAATTTAAAATCATTTTTATTATCATGAAAAATGTCCAAAAATTTATGATACGAATTCAAAACCATTTTTTTTTTTCCATTAAATAATAAATTGTAATGGGAAATACGTACTGCAGACGATACAGTAAAATTCGTTTACTCATTTTTTTTATTTTTTTTTATTTATAATCAATAATCAAATAATTGATCAGCCGGTAATACAATTTAATCATACTCCATATTTTATTAAAAAATTAGAAATACGATTATAATATTTTAGTTTGTAAGTGTTTTTTTTTATCGTTAATTGACCGTACTATGAAATGGAATTTTAAATGTTTTTACTAATATATGAATTTATTAAAACGACGTGACTAAGTTTCACATAGGTGCAATTAAAAAATACGGAATATAAATTTGCATAATGTTATATTTCAGACATCGAATGATATAGTTTGGGATATGAAAGACACAGATTTGGATATTAAGGATGCAATAATTAAAACTGACCACTCTTCATATGACGAAATTAAAGAAATCCCACAGGAGTTTGATGCAAGAAAAACATGGACAGATTGTGCTGAACTTATTGGAAAAAGCATAGATCAGGGTAATTACCCAAATGCCTGGGTGATTATAAAAACAATTCATTATAATGAGATCCGTTACATTGTATTATTAATTCAGAATTTTAATTTTATTTCGTTACATATAATTGCATAGGCTACGGTCACTTGTGGAGNAACAGTTATCAGTCGAAGAGTTAACATTCTGTTGTAAAAAGTGTATAGTTTATGACAATAAATTAGGCAACAAATACCAAGCTTTGGTATATTTTCGAGACGTTGGTGCGGTCACTGGAGGGGATTACGGTACCTCCAATGTGAGTAAAATAACTCACGATATTAATACCATATGAACCTAATCGATAAAACAAGAATTAATTTAATATCATACAACTTCGATAGGGATGCCTACCGTATACAATAGCACCTTGTATAAACGAAGAAGGAAAGAATACATGCGATGGTCAACCACATGAACCGAAGCACAATTGTTCGACACGTTGTACCGGAAACACAGGGCTTGATATAAATTCAGCTCGTTGGAAAGGTATGTAGTATAAGATTAATATTATTTAATATCTTTCATACATAGTCACTTATTTACTAGTAACTGTATTATAAAATGATAACGGATACTGGTTTTTATTGGTTTATTTACATATATGTTACGGGCAATGCCGAAATCGGGCAAATCATAGAAATACCCGGCAAAACGCGAAGTGTCCACGATACTTGGGCAAAACGTCATATTTGGGCTTTCGCCCAGACAAATCTAATTGTAGCCAACCTCTTTCAGCCATTCTGTACATTTTAATTTTTCACAATTAATAGGTACCATCTTAATAATATTACAATACTCGTTCTCCTCAGTAATAAATTGGTCCTTGCATGGAAATATCTGGTTTTGACATAATACTGAAAACATATAACAATCATTTGGACAAAAATATAGCTACTTTTATTGTAAGATCTGTATAGAATATTTATTTATTAGATTTATTTATTTATATATTTTATAAAATAAATGTATGGACGTTAAAAATTTGGTCAAATAAGGTTGGTCACAGCTAGGTTTGTCCGGAAAAAAAGCCGAAATATGACGTTTTTTCCGTAAAATAATAAATATATATAAATGTTTTATGTACTTACAGCTAAAAATGCATACTTCATATATGATATTGAACTAATACAAAAAGATATTATGAAATATGGACCAGTCACCTCTTCGTTTAAGCAATACGATGATTTTTTTTCGCATGATATAGGTAGCTAATGTTTATAAATATACTATTTTTGATTTTTTTTATTTTACGAAATTTAATATTGTCTTAAGGTGTTATTTATGAGAAGCCTGAGATCCCTTCAAAATTTTATCATGATCACCCAGTCAAGATAATCGGTTGGGGTGAACAAGATGGTAAAGCGTACTGGTTGTGTGTCTATACATATGGTAATTTCTGGGGAGATAATGGAACGTTTAAAATTGCTAAGGGCAGCAACGAATGTGAAATTGAAGACAGAGTAACCGCGGGTGAACCGTTAGAATCTTTTTTCTTCTAGACCATATCACTAGAAAACCATGTCAAAAAAATGAACATTGCAATATTATTAACATATTTCTTGTATAATATTGAGACGAGATAAATATAAACGTACATTAAATTAGTTAATGATAAATATAAAATTATTATTATCGCGCAGTAATATAAGTAAGTATAGATTATACAAAACCAAACGGTGCACTTCCTATTCAGCTCATGTAGTTCTCAAAAAATGTAAACCATAACCAGTCTCAAATCAGTGCGACTACAATCATAGAAAAGCTAAAACTAAAAATTGCATACAATTTTAAATTCTATTGTAAAATATAAATATTTAATAAGCAGTCTCTTCCCAACAACTTTTTTGTATAATAATTGTAATATTATAAATATTAATTCTCTTTATATAATGTATGTTTTTGCTGTTGTTTTTAAATTTATTAATACAATTAATTATTCTACTTGTAATTATTACATACGATTTGTTAAAGATATTTATATAAAATTACCTAAATTAAGAACTGTTTTTTGTCTATCCGGATCATATTTAGTATTCACTCAGTTTTGTATCAAACATAAAATATGTATTTATGTTTACATTGATTTTAAACAAGTTAAAAGAAAACCCATGACTCTTGTTTAAATAACATTTGGATATTATTTATATGTATTTGGTAATTTATTGCAATTAATATTGATTAAATACTATTTATAATTTATGTTTGATTTTAAACATTTAAAAATAATATTTTTTTTTCCTTGTTATGTTTATTTAATATTGTAATTGTACGAACTCTCACTTCTAACAAAGTCTTTGGCTTTGGAAGTGATCTAAATTTGTTTATTTTAATACTTTGTAAATACTACTTTTTAGAGAATTAATCAATAAATTATTATTATTATACCCTAATTTCTTAATAGGAGGTTTAGATGAAATTTATCAGGTCTATTCTAATTATACTGTCTTTGATAAAGTTGATCATATGTTGTTATACTATAAAATAAGATCTGTTGGAATAAGTGGACATTTCTTTGAGTAGTTATTTTCTTTCCTCCTTAATCATACTCAAGCTGTCAAAATATCATCTCATCTTTCTACTGATTTCCCTGTTTTATTAGGTGTCCCTCAAGGTTCTCAGTTGGGATTTTTATATTCGTTTCATTAAGTGAAGAAAGATAATCTATTATATCACCTTCAGATATACATACAAAGTTTAATTGAATGACTAATAATGTTGTGTATTTCACTTAAATTGTAAGTAAAATTATTTTAAGTATAAATATAAGAGAAACAATTAAAAAATAATTGAGTAATACCATATACCATTTTAATTATTAGCTGTTAAATTATCTAGAAAAACTGAGAGAGGAATACAAAATTTTTTTCTTAGTGATTGATTATAATTCCAATAGGTTTTAATAGTAATAATATAAATGTTCAATATTTAATTTATAATTTGAGTGAATCTTTTGAGATAGTTGCTTATATTCTCTACGTTTATTGAATCCGGCTCGGCCCAAAGCCCATCCTGGTTGGGTCGATTCCAGGCCAGTCTGGGTAAGCCCAAACTGGGGTTATATATATATATTATATACATTTTTCCGACCAAATGAAGTTCAGGCAATGTACGGTTATAAAATTGTGTTATTAAATACACTTAATATTGTGTATGATTTAAAGTTTAAATTAAAAAATATCTTATTACCATGAAAATATAATAGATTTGTCTAAAAGATTATAAAATGAGTGTTTAAATGTTAATTAAATTAAATTCAATTAAATTCAATACTTGAATATTCAACCATTAAATTATAAATGTTTAATTTTACATAACATTTAAAGTTAAATTAAAAAAAAAAACACATTTAAACGGCTAAGTCATCCAGCTAAGTTAAAATATATAAACGTTAAACTGAAAAATTCTATAAATCTTCAAATTTGTATATCGTTTAAACACATAAATTGAATGGCGTTCTAATTTCTTGTAATGTTTAAATTTCTTATATGGATAACACTTTTACTTTTGATTTAGGTCCTGAAACAATCTCCTATAAGCTTGAAAATATCGAAATTTCAATAAAAAATCTCGAAAAATGTCATTCCCTATTCAAAATAACAAAACACTATGTGCCTACGAATATTTATTATTATGTCACCGGGGCGATTGTCTACGAGAAATAATTTATTGTTTTACATAACTAAATATACTAATGCATAATATATACAAATATTTTTAAAAAAAGTTGTTGACATGTCTGACGAAGACTTAAAAGACGCGCCGCCGGAACAGATTGCGGAGGACGAAGAGGTACCACGGCTGCAATTTTCGGCACGTGAACTGCTCCCGGTGGAACTGTTTGAAGAGACACAGGAAGCTTTCGGATTATTCAGCGATGCGGAGGGTCATCTAAACATCCGACACCTGTATGGGGCTCTCCGGTCCATGGGTATAGATGCCACCGACAAAGACGTGATGGTTATATGTGAGACACACGACCCGGACGGCCGAGGATACGTGGATTTGGATCAGTGGACGGTTGCAGTGGCCCGACGCCTGGCCGAAGACGGGGATCGACGCAAGAGTTTTCGCGCCCGGTTAGCGGCCGGGGACAAGGGAAAAACCGGTCAGGTGACGATCGCCCACGCGCGTACCGTCATCGAGACGTTCGACCCAGCAGCCGTAGAATCCATCGACATAGAGGAGATGTTGGATAGCGTCAACTACGCCGATCTGGGGCTAATCGATATTGACGAATTTATGGACACTATGGTCAGGCCGTTAAGAATCGAATCACAACAATAATTTAGTGTTTCTGAAATTGATGTACCTTCGAATATTATACCTGTAGTTGATCATTTCATATGTTCGGAAATTCATCAAAAATAGGTTTGTCTGCACCTAATTTTACAGTAGCTTGTTCACTTTGCAAACAAACATTTAAGGCTTATATATACGGTAGAACTCGTTTGAGATGCTATCCTAGGGACCAGCAAAACAAGTATATTAAACGGGAGATCTTATTACGCGAGAAAAACAAAATATGACAAAAAAAAAAATTGCCGTATGAATTATTACATTTATGTTTCACATTATTTCACATTACTTCAAAACAAAACATCGATTTTTATTTGATCACATTTTTTATGCTTTTAGAATAAAGAGAGTTCTCAATTTTATTAAGATGATGTAACGTTCCGTCAGTATTATCAAAAGTTCGAATTAATAACTAACTTAACCTAACCTAACCTAACCTTAACTCATTAACATAATCAATTGTATTTATTACTGGATGAATCAGTGTCATATCCTTTTCCTCTTTGCATTCTTCCTCTGTAGAAAATACATCAGCCAATGCATTTTTATCAGTAATAATCTTGTCAACGATTCTAGTGTTACTGGTGGGCGACGCCCTCGTCAATTTCTCCATATCCTGGAAACTCCTCCAATTCTTAAAATTCTTCGCTACTTTCCTCACGAATAGTACTGTGGCACATATTTATTTATTATCATATTGCTGCGCTGCGTATAATAATTATAATATTATAATATTTAAAGATAATAAGCCGACGCCCGTAACACCTCCCATCTAAAAAGAAGGTTTATGTCTCCCAAAAGACAAAAATCTTTTCACTACCGACTGTGCACCTTTTATAAAGTTACATAAAATATCAAAATTATTAAAATATCGCTTATAGAAGTCGATGTACATTTTTCCTCTTTTTTTTTAAAAAAAATTTCTAAATTGTTGTTAGTATACAAGATAATTTTACATATTAATTGCATTTCAATTTGTTAGTCATTTTTTAATATATATATATATACAATATATCATTAATCATCAACATTAATCATTAAATATAAACATTATTATTATTACATATATTAATTTTTTTTTTACAAGTATGTAAATGAAATTGTTACAAAATATTAAAATTAATTTCCCACAGCTTATTAAAATCTCCCACCATATAACATTGTGTACTACTAATAAAGTATTCGTTATGTCTTTCAATTCAATATAAATATGTTCTGTTTCATTTAGTGTACTGTTTATTCATTTTAGTGCCGTTTTTACTACTGTAGCCTGATCCTTCATTATATGCAATATTTTTGACCTACTTTCTTCTGTTTGCCTAATTGCTTCTGATGTTTCTCTGATGCAAATATCGTCACAAAGAGTGTGCTTATAACTTCTCCAACGATATCTATAACCCTATTTTTTCTCTTTTCACCGCATCATTCTCGCTTACTTCTCCTTTTCCCAATGAGGCATACATTAAATCTTTGTTCCACTACTTCAATATAGAATTCACACATTTTTTTGTGATACCTTTATTTTTTATTTTTTATGACATTTATTTTTTCCCACTGCTATCCTACATTGGTCTACTATTACATTCAATTATTTCCCAAATAAAAAATTAAAATTGTCATTATACTCCTTTATCAATAAAAAAGTTTTAATTTTATAGTCCCCTCCATTAAGTCTAATTAGTCTGAGGTTTTCTGCATACAGTGCTTGAATATTTTTGTCAAATGACTCGATTTCATATAATGCACGAACGTCAGGGCTTATTAGCTTTTCTACTATTGCCGTTGCTTCTGATTTCTCATCTCTAGAAGGAAAATCAAAATAAGTAACATGATGCTCCACGTATTCGGTTGTTGCTTCTGCTGAATAATCTGCAAAAGTTACTTTATCCTCCTGTGCCATAACTATAATTGTCATAGTAATCATCCACCATCAGTTTATAATTATTTATACATATATTTTTAGTGCTTCGAGTGCCTCCACCACCTGTAACATCCTCTCCTCTAAACTTCCCCTCCGTTCTTTGGTGATAGTTGGAGTATTGGGTGTTTGTTTAATTTTACGAAGTCTCGGGGACTCGACCTTGGTGTCTGATACTTAATATTTCGAGAAAGGGTTACCTTATATAAAAGTACACAAATATAGATGATAATTAATAATAATGTATTTAATGTTACTGTGGAGTCAGAAATGGGATAATGAGTAGCGGACAATCATGAGTGTGACTTGTGAAGAATCGTGGTACCGTTAAAGGTCTTTGTACATTCTAAACTCTCTTTTTCGCTCCTCTGCTACTCCTTATATATATATATATATAACCGTACCGAAAAACCCCCAGTTGACATTCATTCGTCACTTACCGTTTCGCACACTCAACATATTAGCCGTGTCCTACTTAACGTGTAATGTACGATGTTATCATATTGATAACCAACAATCTTTACACATGGAAACATTAAAATGTTTTCCACAGCCTTTCCCACGTATTATAATACTGAATTTAATTTTGTCTTGTAACGTCATAACAGGTTTATCTTGTTATACTAAACGTATTTAATAGAGTATTATTGCATGCCTGTAAATAATCTATTCAATAAACAATTTCAGAACCTAGGTAGACAACATAATATGTAGAAACTTGGATGTTGGCAATAGAATGGGTTAAAAAATTAATTTTTAGGTGTTGGATAGGCAACTTATTAAACCATTAGAAGCACAAATCAGAAGTTGTATAAGCAACATTATATACATAATCGGGAACCGTTGGACTTTTTTTTATCAAATATTGCTAGCGGAAGGTACATATTATAGTGTTTATGCATAAACTTTATACTCATAGGCTAGCTTTGTGTACACGAAGAAAGGCCATAGATAGAGGGCGCTCTTTACCTGTGACATTTACGTGATATTATTGTACTTAGTACTACACATACAATGACACCACTGATGTAATTATACTGTACACCACTGTAGTATGCCTGATCGGTTACTACCTCATCTACTCTCAAGGCAAGGCCAGTCTATTAGTATAAGATTTATGTTTTAAGTCATTTCAAATGAAATTACATAATTAATCACTCAAATACTCTCTTAATCGCTCTAATACTTAAACTAAAGGTACTATCCTATTATCTCAACTACAGATATATTTCCAAGACTACCTACTCTAATCAATCCTGTTATTTCAATTACTTATAATTTATAATATATTAATACATATGAATGGTTAACTAAAATCGAGTATGTATAAAATGTTAACTCCCGTGTAAATTCCCGCATCGTATTCTGTATCAACGTAAATTTATTATTAAGTAGGTATTCATTTAAAACGGTCACTGTTTTGATATTGTTCTATGTCCATAGTCTTCAATAAGCACCAGAGACTTTTGATTCATTTAACATGAATTTTTCGGTAGTCGAGATAACAAGATTGTGCACAAAAATTAATTTAAATAACACGATAGTATCAAAATAAATTAAAAAGCAGAGCACTTTATACATGAATCAAAACTCGAAAATAAACAATTTTGAGTTGTGTCGCTATTCTTTCAGTATTGCGAAATTATCTTTCAATAACAATTATTAAATTTGGCAACGCTAGAAAAAATAATTGACCGTTCTCAATTGTATTTTACAATTATGGAAGAGTAACGTACGGAATCGTAATTTAACTGATGAAAAACCTAGGCAACAAATTTTAGTATCCGGTAGCGGGTAAGTAACTTTGGGAAAAAATTCAAAATATAACTATGACTATCAATATGAAGGTAACAAAACGCAAGGTTTAATGATGGGTTTTGAATTTTGATAAAACTATTTCGAAGTAGTTGTTAATCAGTCCAAAGTAATTTCGTAATTGTTTACATTCGGAAAAATATCACGGTGTGAAATGTAATTGCTATGATGGAGTGAGATGTTTCTAGCAGTTGACTTTTTTAGCAACGGTATAATCCTCAAAAACCTATCCGTACGATAATGAGCTCTGATGAAATGAGTTCACCGCCAGAGCGCGATACGAGTATCAAAACTGAATTTAATATAGGCTCGGAATTTAATTAATACGTGAACATACGCATTATAACTAATGTAGCCAGGAAAGGTGTGGGATTAAACCTATGGTATATAACCCATATGTATAGTTATTGTTATCTGTGAGATAGAATTTAGTAATTATGAATGCAGTTTATATGCATATTGCATATTATGACTGCTCCATTAAAAATCATAGATATGAGATTTTCAAATCGTTTTAACAATTTATGAAAAATCGGTTTTTCTAACTAAATGAGAGGTTTTCAAAATTAAAAACTCTCTCGTATCTTTTTCTGTCATACTACTATTTATAGGTGACACATGATAACGGTTCTAGATTGACTGTAACTCCAGCTACGAGTAGGTACAAACAATATTTATTTTCTGGCGTACTATGATAGCTTTATATAGGCAATACGTTTTTATGATTACTAACTTTAACATATTAATAAAATATCAATTCATTTTAAATTAAAATAGAAAAGTTCAAATAAATTTACAAGTAGATGTTTAATTTCTATAGTCCCATTCCATTATAAAAAGTCATTGGTGTTCACCTAATTCATAACAAGCGAATGTGCAGTTCTGCCTATAATGCTTAAAACTATTTTTGAAGCTCATTTAGTCTTAGAAAATATAGATATTATAATTTGTAATGGCAATCAATTTTTAGTTCATAATTTGTATATGATAAATTTGATGAGAAAAAACTTGAGAAAATTAAAAAATTACCTCTCTAAAGTTCCTCCCCGGTTAAATTTCCTTTTAGAAATATTGATATCATAATAAATCGGAGCAAAAAAAGATGTCCACTAGAAAAAATAAGGACGTAATATATTTTAACTAAACACGCATTTCTTATATTTTCCCGATTTTCCTTCGGTTTTTTCCTGTTTTTCAAATTAGTTGAGAAAACTTCTGAGAAAATTGAATAATGACTTCTCTAAAACAACCTCCCCATACCGATTATCTTTCAGCTAAAGTACTACACGTAAATCGAATAAGTCCTCTGATAGAAAAGTTGTCCACAGTAAATAAAAAAAATTATCATCTTTGTAAAACCATAAGCTTCTTCATTCCACTCAGAATCTAATATGAAGGGAACAAAATTACATAAGGCAAAATTATATTTAAAAAAAGTGCATCATTTGACTTGTGCCCTTCTTTCCCGGGATCAAATATACGACGTAAATTATATGTAATACAGTAAATCTTCCATAAAACGATCACCAAAGAGACCGGAAATAATGACCGCTGTTTAGAGGTGACTGTTACCGGAAGTTTTACTGTATTCGGAATATCGTAAATAAGACTACGCGCATTTCGCTTTTCTGGTCTTCAATCTTTCGATTGGTTTTTCACGCTGCTCTGTCAAAACTCAGATTCTTCAGTTTTAGATAACTTCTCACTGTCGTGTCCTTTAGAATTTACGGTATATATTTATGCCATCCTTAAACAGGCATATATTAAATTATAAATAAATTGATATGCATCAATGCTATTGAAATATTATTGTAACATACGGACAGTCATTTACTTACGAATAGCGCCGGATTATTATCTGTGTCTACGTATCCGGGTATATTTACGTCATTTGTGTGCCGGGTAGTGCGTAGTTATGTATAATAAGGGTATCGTGTGTGTGTATGACAGTTAGATTAATGGAGGTTAAACAGGAAAAAAAAAAAATAAGGTCGATAGGTATTACATTATATTATTTTTTATGTAGGTACCTATAACACATACGTACATAATATACACGAAACCCGAAAAATCGGTGACGCAGTGTTGGTGCGTGAAAACGATCACCGTGAGAACGAAATATCCATTTTAGTGCGTGTATTTCCAGGAATAAGTCGGAA